TTTTTTTTTTTTTTTTTTTTTTTTTTTTTTTTTTTTTGCATCGGTATAAAAAAACATTTAATGTATATGATGGACGGAGTCAGCTTGTTGAATTGGAATCGGTTGATTCCCTCGATGATATACATTAACTGTTTACTGTAACGGATCATGCAAGGGTCAAGTGCTTGAACTTTAAGTAGTAAAAAATGAAAAAAAAAAAAAATCAACGAACGACCGTATTTTGCAACAAAAAGGAAGAGACAATCGCTTTCCAAATGAAAATTTATATAGTAAAAATAAATCAAAAGACTATGCCAACTGCCCGCTGCATACTGCAGGCCAGTCCTAGGGTATAAATGCAGTGGGCTCTGATAATATTCAATTTTAAATACCATATGATATCATTCTTGTGTTTTTTCTCTTGTTTTCAGATCCATAGGAAGATATTTCAATTTTTGGTAGGTGGGGGACCCAATCAATGTTTTTAACCTCCCCCCCCCCCCCCCAAATAAAGAAAATATCAAAGAATACTTTTAAGAATTAACAAAGATACATTAGACTTGATTTCTATTCTCACGTATATATTCTTTATGTATTTACCGGCCAAGGTACTGAGGGAAAACAATCGAATTTGCTTTATTTTCTATTGTTCAGTATACAGCCATTTCTTATTTACCATGATACACAAAAATTATTCTTAGAGTTGAAATCGTCATAATTTTTTTTTTCAAAATAGAGCTGAGAAAAAATCTGCACTTTACTTCAATTCAGCATATCTTAGGGTCGAGGAATGGAGAGCAGGGGATTAAGCGGGGCTTGGGGATTGGTCTTCCCATTTATGTATTAGAGATAATCTTCTGTTGTTTTTTCATGTGTGTCACAAACATTCAATTCTTGCGTTGAAAAAGAAAATATATAACAAAATTTTAAAGAAACATCCAACTTATTCCCTTACTTTCCTATGAGGTAGGACAAGTTTTATCTATTTATATTATCTATTATTATTTTTATCATTTTCTTTTGGGTTTGTCCGTAAAACGCTTTGGAGGCCCGCAACCCACTGGTAAAAGACTTTACGGACATCTACTCATCTATTCAATTTCTTTTTTTTTTAAATCATGATATTATTAGTAGCATAGGAGGATGTCTACTCCCTCATCCCTCCCTTAACAATGGGGGCCTATTGTTTTGAGAACAATGGGGAGAACAATAGGAAAGACAATGCAATGACTCTGACCTACGGTGAATGAGCAGGGTATTTGAGATGCGTCAAGCGAAATGGGACCTTCGTGGCGCGACTAGAATAACGTCATAATCGAGCTTTAAAGTCACTACATTAGAGCCGACTGTTGCCGTAAATGGTAATAATCAAGAAATCCTTTATATAGTTTAATTTACAGGTTATTTGATTGAATGTCCCAAGTAAAGAAAAAAATGGCAATAAAATGAGAAGACCTGATTAATCAACCTTTCCTCCAAAAAAAATTACAAATAATATATATTATATTTGCTTCTCAACCAGTTATCTGAATCCATATAAACCCCGTCGACTTCGATAATTTTTGTTCTGATGTAGTTGTGACGTCATCGTTCAAAGTATTGAAACCCTCTGAGAAAAATAAACAATTTAACAGTATGATGAAAAAAGAGACTGCTTTTATATTGATTTTAACTTATGATTAATTAATTGTATGCTGTTTTACGTCCCATTCAATTTTTTTTCACTCATATTGAGACGCCCCCATATACCGATGAAGGGCTTCAAATTTTGGCCTTTATTCGGCATTCAGGGTCTTTGAGCAGTGTGGGATCGGTTTTTAAGACCTCATCCGAAGGACCCGCAACTTTTACTTCAAAGTGCCGAGCGCATTGCGAAGGAACAGTTGCTACCCATTTTTTTTTATCGACTAAGGTCAGTCGCGACCGAGATTCGAACTCATGACCTATTTTAATTTAAGAATTTTTTTATCATGTTTTTTAAGTTCCTAAAACTCATTTTAAGAGATGAAATTATTCTTAAAATAGATGTACTATTACAGAAACTTCGTATCCTCTGAACGTGAAAAACCCTAGCTTGAAGAGTTATCGTTCTTTGCAAAATATATGTAAGTATGAACAGAAAAAATAAGGATATTGCAGTTCTTTTTTAATTTGTAAAAAAAAAAATTATACAATTAAATACATTGACCAAAATTTATTTTTAAAGCTATAAACCAGCAACTTAAATCATTTTGAATTTCGTTTTTACCGGAGAATATTATTATTTTAAAAAACTAAGATTCATTCCAATATGCAAAACATTTTATATATATATACTGCTGAACGCGTTTTACTAGTGGAGTATACTGTACTGTGTGGGAGTGAGAAACAAATTGCACTCATAGCTAAATAATTGCGTCTATAGTCCTATGAACGCAACTGATGAGTGCAGATTCATAGGAGGAGAAAAGAGAGTATACAAATATATATATATATATATATATAGAGAGAGAGAGAGAGAGAGAGAGAGAGAGAGAGAGAGAGAGAGTTTTACGAAAAGGCGACACATTGCAATTGACAAGTGCATTGCGATCAGTGACTTGTTAATTAACTCAAAACAAAACAGCATGTTATAGGAATTTTTTTTTTTTTTTTTTTTTTTTTTTTTTTTTTTTTTTTTTTTTTTTGTAATTGGATTGTCTCCTACAGTGTAAAATAGAAAATATTTCATTTTCCGGTATTTTTAAGATTTGTTGGTTTTGTATGATGTCATAGTTAATATTTTCCGTACAAATTAGACTCCGCCCCCCTTTTGTAGCCTTAACTGTGCTGTGTATGACCTTAGGGAGATTGCTAGGGTCTCAAATGTTAGAATAAGCAAGGGTATTTTTACCATTTTTTTTTTTACTTTTGGGGCAATATAACTTAATCTAACGGTTATTTTTGTTCTATCCTTCTATGGATCCTTTATAGTGTTGTTTTATACTCAGGTGACCATTAAGACCGTTATGACCATTGGGCGTTTTGTTAAAAAAATGTATACTGTTAAGTTCGAACAATAAAATAAAAGGATAGATATATTACCTTTTTTTAATTATTTGACAACAGTTTTCAAATTCTACGAAAAATAAAAAAAATAGACAAAATAATTTTAGTGATTTCCACTACTAAGTTACTGTTATATCTTTTAATTTTGAAAGTGTTTCTTTAAAATAATTTTTGCAATAGTAAATGTGTATTGTGTTTTAAAGTTAATGTGATCTTTGCACATAATACCTTTGTAATATTGTTCCATTCTCTCTCTCTCTCTCTCTCTCTCTCTCTCTCTCTCTCTCTCTCTCTCTCTCTGTGTGTGTGTGTGTGTGTGTGTGAATGAATGAGCTTTTCAGCGTGTTGATCACCAAAAATGCTATAACATTATAATTTTATGGTTATTATTCATTAAGAAATGTAAGGAAATAGTTCACCACCTTTTGGATCTGGTATTCATATTCAACACAAAGCTTCTGTTCTATCCGATAATAATATGCAATGGAAATATCAGGAAAAAAAAGTTTCGCAAAGAAAGGGAGTTCTCACATTGGTAATAAATGTTAGGCAGATTCAAGGAGATCAGGAAATGAATTTACATTTTTCTGGTCTTCGACTGCTTTTATAAACGCTCGTGACGTGATTAATCGGGGCTTATAGTTTATGTTCTGTCTGTCTGGCTGTCTAGCTGTCTGTCTAGTTGTCTGTTTGTCCGCAAAACCTTTAACCTTGCCCATGACTTTTGGCTTGGTTGGATCTATGACTTTCATATTATACCTGTGTATTTCTTGTGAGAAGACCTTTCTTTGGGTACCAATATATCTGATCTCTTGACCTAGGAGTTTGACCCATTTTTGCAAAACTTTATCACACTTTATTCTTGGACATAACTTTTGAATGGTTGGTGCTATGGCTTTCATTTTTCACAGGTGTATTCCTGATGTCAATACCTTTCGTTGGATACAAATATTTTTGACCTTTGGACTTTGATCTTCATATTTCACATGTGTATCTCTTATGACAAGACCTTCTCTTGGGCATCAACATTTTTTCCCTTTTACCTTGGCCATAACTTTGAACGATTGGTGCGAGGGGCTTTCATATTTCACAGGTCCATCCCTTGTGACAAGTCCATCCCTTTGGAACCGTCAATTTTACCCTTTGACCTTGACCTTGGAATTTTACTTACTCTTGAAAAACTTTATCCTTGTTCATAACTTTTGAACGGTTGGTACTAAACCTTTCATTTTCAACATGTGTATTCTTTGTGAAGAGAACTTCCCTTGGGTACCAACAATTTTTGACCTCTTTTTTGATAATTTTTTACCTTTGACCTTGACCTTTGAGTATGGTCTAATTTTTAAAAAAAACTTAAATTTTGCAATAAATTTTGAGCAATTGGTGCTAGGGTTTCCATATTTCATAGGTGTATTCTTTGAGACAAAACGTTCCCTTTGGTACCAACAATTTTGATATCTCAACTTTGACCTTGGGAGTTTTACTTGCATTTAAAAAAACTTTAACCTTCGCCATATTCTGTCATACGGGGGAATCTGTGTTTTACAAATACATCTTGTTAAATGTTGTTTCTCAAGTACATAAATATTTTAAGCTACATAGTCATTATAAATTAAAATTGCAATCAGTTTTTAGTATGTTATATACGAAACGTTTTAACTACATTTTTCACGCATAAAACGGCATTGTATTCAACTGAAAACTATATATATTCTATTAAATTCTTGTAATACAACATTGGTTATTTAAAAAAAAGTAGATTTAAAGAACTGTTAATCTATTAACAGGTCTTACAATACAGTCGACTTACTCTGGGTAGTTTATGCAATAAATTAAATAAAAGAAACACAGTACAATGAATGAATTGTTTCAGAATTTCCTAGGAACGCAAAGCGCCCCGAAACTGTCCAACTATCCTTACTTACATGAACATCATAATCGAATTTTTTGAATGAGGATTGTGTTGCATATTGAAGAAAAACAACATTACATACCAATTTTTTACCTTTCCTTGAAGCCGTTCTTTTCTATTAAAAAAAACAAAAACAGAATTAAAGATAACAAAAACGTTCATCCTTGTCCTCTTGCATCATAACAATATATCTGTTTTCGTTTACCTCATTTTTTTTTAAATAATTTTAATCATTCAACTATCTTTTGTTAACCAAGTAAACAATTGCTTTTTATCTTTCTCCCGCAGATTTTTATTTTTACCAAATTGTTTGATCAGTTTTCATTAACTTTATTATTTTTTTTTTGTTTGTTGTTTAACGTCCCTATCGAGAATTTTTCACTCATATGGAGAAGCCACCACTCGCCGATGGAGAGCTGCAGATTTTAACCTATACTCGACACTTAAGCCATTGAGCAGTGAGGGGTCCTTTTCGTGCCAGCACCTACTGCGGCACAGGACCTTGGTTTATACAGTCTCATGCAAAGGACATGTCTCCATGTCCCACAGTGGGATTCAAACCAGCGACGTAAGGATCAACTGCTTACTCTGCGACTCTAGAGCATACGCTCTAACCACTACGCCACGCGGGTGACCATTAACGTTATTTAAACCATGAACTAAATATTTCAGATCTAATAAAAATATATACAAGGTCACAGTTGGATATATATTCAAAGCACGTAAAAAATATTCATAAAACATCAATGAGGGATGCAGGCACGATCGTAAACAAAGGGTATATAGTGACTAGAGAGAAATTAAGTATCATTTTTCAAGATCTATTAATCACTTCTTTCAATTTTCAAATACAGATTCTTGTTATACAAATAAACGTATACATTTATATGTGGTTCAGGTATATAACACATGCATTATTTATTTTATTAATCACTTTATCCTAAAAGAAAAATAAAATTCTCAATCAAACTTGTCCCATATCTTGTGCTCTCTAATACATTATTCAACAAGATATGTAAGAATCGTTCCTCCATGAGAACTGCAGGTGGTATAAATTATAGCATCTGGCTCTAATGTTAATTCAACTTTCTTCAAAAATATTATCTTTAAAAATGTAAAACTTTAATTGACCCAAATAATATTTTACATCAAATTCGAAATGCTTCCGGGGCACCAGACTAAGTTTAATTGACAGGTGAAACGCCGTGCGTGGATTTCGTGTTAATATCCATGTGCATATTCTGATTAAAAATAACAAACAGATCTAGAGAACAGAGTTATTGTGATTAATATTATAAATAAAACAAAGGCAATTAAGATTTATAGTCTTTGAATTAAGACAATATGGCATATTGAAGAAAAATAAAATTTCCTACCCTTTTGATTCCTTTCGCTGAAACCATTCCTTCCTAGAAAAGCAGATATCAAAAATGTTCATGCTTGTCTTTGTGCATCTTACCAATATATCTGTTTTGGTTTATCCCATTTTTTAGTTTATTATCATCAACTATCTTTTTTTAAACAACTAAACAATTGCTTTTTATTTCTTTGCCTGTAGCTTTGTCCTTTTTTTTACGAAATGTTTGATCAGTTTGTAATAAATCTATTTTTATAAAAATAGCTAAATATTTCAGATCTAATAATAAAAAAAAAATAGAAACAAGGTCATAGATGGAAATTTATCCAAAGCACGTAAATGACCAAAGCCAAGAACAAAAGAAGTGTTAGTTTTTGGACGTCCTGCCCTTTGCTTATGACAAGGAAAAACTTAAAAAGTAATAAAAAAACAGATAGAGAAACAAAACCAAATAGCACTACAACTAAACTACAAAACACTGTACGAGGGTTGTCCCAAAAAGTCGTAGACAGGGAAAATAATTTAGCTTCGCTTTGCTAAATTTAATTTCTTTTCTTGTCAGAGTGAAAAGCAACATTTTATGATCATGAATTTCAAGTTTCATGATGATAACACATTTAACGTAGGTCGCGGGTTTGCTGACGTCGTTAAAATTGAGTACGCAATTTATATGATTTGGGCGACTTTCTTGTGCACATTTGATTATTACGTCATAATGAAAAAGAAATCTGCAATAATTTTTGTTTTATTAAATTCTTCAGTATATCATTATTTAGATATATTTTTTCTTGGAATTGGTAGTTTAGTGTTTAATTATTTAAGCAACAACTTATCACAAATAATGAAGGTTTTTTACGATTTGTATAGTCGATACACTACTTATATAAAACTTTTGTTAGAATTGGTAATTTAGTGAAGACGGCTTATTCGAATGATCGACACTGGAAATATTTTTAAAAAGTTTCATTATTTGTTATCAATCGCATTTTCTTGGGTCTTTCCTGCAAACTTGGAAAAACAAGTGGTTGTTTTTCGGCTTGTCGGAAAGGCCCGAGAAATTGCGATTGAGTTGTTTTTACTTGGTATCGCGAAACGATATGGACACAAGGTTCAACTGACCTTTTTTTCCTTTGATTGTATTTGAATTATCAGTTTGTTTTATTAAGAAAGAAGCCACTATTTTGAAAAAAAAAATCGCAAATACACCTGTTATATCGAAAGATGAAGCTTTACTCTTAAACAGGATATTTTCTAAAATATATAGATGTACACGTTTATAATAAATTAAAAACTGCTAAGGTAAGATGAAACATTAAGACATTTTTTTAGCAACACTGACCTTCTGTTAGGGGACAACTATTTGATTCTGAGGGAGAGGAGGGAGGGGTGGTGGCAAATTTTACCAAGTCAGAATGTGTATTTTCATGTCGTTGAAGGACAGATTATTTGTTTTCAAAAAAAAAAAAAAAAAAAAACAAGGACAGATTATTTATTTCTTCTTCAGTGAAAAAAGTCAAGCATAAAAAAGAAAAAAAGAAAAACATCAAAGTTGAAAACTCCCGGGGAGGGGGGGGGGTGCTAGAACTAGTCTTGGACATATTATTTATTTTCTTGCCCAGTCGAGGACAGATAATTTATTTTCAACATTTTCGAGGACAGATAATTTATTTCCAAAATCTGTAAGCCGCCTCCCATGAAATGATCGTCCCCTAAGCAACAGGTTGCAATGTTGTTAACTAAAGATCTTATTCGCTACTTTGCTTTCCATGTTTAACAAGTGGAATCAATGTTCTAAAAAAAAACAAAAAACTGGCTATTGAGTACGTCAGACAACATTAATATTTAAATCCTCGTCCCATTTACCCCTCTGAAAATGTGGTATGTAAAAATAAATATTTTGTTTAAATATATACTGAAAATGTATTGTATTTAGCCGGGACGATATTTGGTAGAAATTCGTAGATTTGAGCGCTTTGCTGAATGGTCTAAATAAAAACATTTTATATACTTGATTTACTTGAATTAAAGGATACCGTTTCCCGCAAGCATGCTTGAAAAGAAAAATACATGACCAAATGTAAGGATACATCTAATCTACGGAACCCCCCCCCCCCCCAAAAAAAAAAAAAAAAAAAAAAACAGAAAAGAAACGTTAAGAAAAAAACACATAAATAAAATAAATTGGAAGAGAGAAATTAAAGGATTAATTGTTATTTTACGTCCTTTGCGAGAATTTTCATTAATATGACGTACAAAAACCTTAATCTGAAGAGAAACATGTCTAATAATCATTTCGTTGATATTGAATTATTATGATACGATTCACGGGTCACTTGAAAGCAGTTAGACGTGAATTTCTTTTTTTATAAAAATTACTTTATCTTATTTTTCTGCACTGGATACCGGATAGATATTCACGACGTCAAGCATGACGTCGCGATATTTTATGACGTTGTTCTTAAAAATGTTACATTTTACGATATAAAAGCAATAATCCACATTTAAATTACGCGAAAACTAATCCGAAGACATATTAATTTTTTCACATTGATTTATTTTTAATCAATTCTTTTTTGAAATACCAAAGGGAAAACAATTTCTTTTGCACCATTTAAAAAGTTATTGATATTTTTTAAAACAAAATCTTGCTTCAAAACAAGCCGAAAACGACGTTTCTTCTTATATAATTCAATAGAATAACGTCGAAAATGTAACGACAACAATGGCATGTTTGGAATTTAATTACACAAAAACGATGCAGATGAATTTTATAAAATTTTCAGAGAATATAAGACGAAGGTAGAGGATTCATATAACTAATTTTCATGGTATGTTTTCGGACACTTTCAAATGGCCTGCAAACCCGCAACCTACGTTAAAAAGAGAATAATGTTAAAATTAAAAGTGTGAACGGTACGGTTCGCTTTGTACACGGCACGGTACGTTTCTTGCACGGAACGGTTCGCTTTGTGTACGGTACGGTTCGCTTTGAGCATGGTACCGTACGTTTCTGGCAGGAAACGGTTCGTTTTGTAAACGGTACGCTTTGGTGAACGGTATGTAAATTAAGTGGGCGGAGCCTGTACGATTTAGTTTATGATTGGCTACTTCATAAAGTTGTTTATTTCTCTAATATAATCTCTTTATATATATAAATGGAAGGACAGTGTCTCAGGCATTTTTAATAAGTTGTTTTTTAATTTCAATCTGTTATAAATATTTCCTTTTTACAGCTGTATTTTAGTTATTACATGTAATGTCATCTTTCTTTCTTTCTTTTTTTTTGGGGTGGGGGGTGCGCAAAAAAACAGAAATTTCTTGATTTGTTTTATGTTTGTAGATATATAAGTAAAAACAAGACGAAAGAAAAAAATATTCATAAAACATCAATGAGAGATGCAGACACGATCGTAAACAAAGGGTATATAGTGACTAGAGAGAAATTAAGTATCATTTTTCAAGATCTATTAATCACTTCTTTCAATTTTCAAATACAGATTCTTGTTATACAAATAAACGTATACATTTATATGTGGTTCAGGTGTATAACACATGCATTATTTATTTTATTAATCACTTTATCCTAAAAGAAAAATAAAATTCTCAATCAAACTTGTCCCATATCTTGTGCTCTCTAATACATTATTTAACAAGATATGTAAGAATCGTTCCTCCATGAGAACTGCAGGTGGTATAAATTATAGCATCTGGCTCTAATGTTAATTCAACTTTCTTCAAAACTATTATCTTTAAAACTGTAAAACGTTAATTGACCCAAATAATATTTTACATCACATTCGAAATGCTTCCGGGGCACCAGACTAAGTTTTAGTTGACAGGTGAAGCGCCGTGCGTGGATTTCGTGTTACTATGCATGTGCATATTCTGATTGAAAATAACAAACAGATCTAGAGAACAGAGTTATTGTGATTAATATTATAAATAAAACAAAGGCAATTAAGATTTATAGTCTTTGAATTAAGACAATATGGCATATTGAAGAAAAAAAATTCCTACCCTTTTGATTCCTTTCGCTGAAACCATTCCTTCCTAGAAAAGCAGAATTAAGCAGATATCAAAAATGCTCATGCTTGTCTTTGTGCATCTTACCAATATATCTGTTTTGGTTAATCCCATTTTTTAGTTTATTATCATCAACTATCTTTTTTTAAACAACTAAACAATTGCTTTATATTTCTTTGCCTGTAGCTTTGTCCTTTTTTTTACGAAATGTTTGATCAGTTTGTAATAAATCTATTTTTATAAAAATAACTAAATATTTCAGATCTAATAATAAAAAAAATAGATACAAGGTCACAGATGGAAATTTATCCAAAGCACGTAAATGACCAAGGCCAAGAACAAAAGAATTGTTAGTTTTTGGACGTCCTGTTTTTTCCTTATGACAAGGAAAAAACTTAAAAAGTAATTAAAAAACAGATATAGAGAAACAAAACGAAATAGCACTACAACTAAACTACAAAACACTGTGCGAGGGTTGTCCCAAAAGGTCGTAGACAGGGAAAATAATTTAGCTTCCCTTTGCTAAATTAAATTTCTTTTCTTGTCAGAGTAAAAAGCAACATTTTATGATCATGAATTTCAAGTTTCATGATGATAACACATTTAACGTAGGACGCGGGTTTGCTGACGTCGTTAAAATTGAGTACGCAATTTATATGATTTGGGAGACTTTCTTGTGCACATTTGATTATGACGTCACAATGAACAAGAAATATGCGATGATTTTTGTTTTATTAGATTCTTCAGTATATCATTATTTAGATATATCTTTTCTTGGAATTGGTAGTTTAGTGTTTTATTATTTAAGCAACAACTTATCACAAATAATGAAGTTTTTTTTTCGATTTGTATAGTCGATACACTACTTATATAAAACTTTTGTTAGAATTGGTAATTTAGTGAAGAAGGCTTATTACGATTCGAATGATCGACACTGGAAATATTTTTAAAAAGTTTAATTATTTGTTATCAATCGCATTTTCTTGGGTCTTTCCTGCAAACTTGGAAAAACAAGTGGTTGTTTTTCGGCTTGTCGGAAAGGCCCGAGAAATTGCGATTGAGTTGTTTTTACTTGGTATCGCGAAACGATATGGACACAAGGTTCAACTGACCTTTTTTTCCTTTGAACGTATTTGAATTATCAGTTTGTTTTATTAAGAAAGAAGCCACTATTTTGAAAAAAAAAATCGCAAATACACCTGTTATATCGAAAGATGAAGCTTTACTCTTAAACAGGATATTTTCTAAAATATATAGATGTACACGTTTATAATAAATTAAAAACTGCTAAGGTAAGATGAAACATTAAGACATTTTTTAGCAACACTGACCTTCTATTAGGGGACAACTATTTGATTCTGAGGGAGAGGAGGGAGGGGTGGTGGCAAATTTTACCAAGTCAGAATGTGTATTTTCATGTCGTTGAAGGACAGATTATTTGTTTTCAAATAAAAAAAAAAAAAACAAGGACAGATTATTTATTTCTTCTTCAGTGAAAAAAGTCAAGCATAAAAAAGAAAAAAAGAAAAACATCAAAGTTGAAAACTCCCGGGGAGGGGGGGGGTGCTAGAACTAGTCTTGGACATATTATTTATTTTCTTGCCCAGTCGAGGACAGATAATTTATTTTCAACATTTTCGAGGACAGATAATTTATTTCCAAAATCTGTAAGCCGCCTCCCATGAAATGATCGTCCCCTAAGCAACAGGTTGCAATGTTGTTAACTAAAGATCTTATTCGCTACTTTGCTTTCCATGTTTAACAAGTGGAATCAATGTTCTAAAAAAAAACTGGCTATTGAGTACGTCAGACAAAATTAATATTTAAATCCTCGTCCCATTTACCCCTCTGAAAATGTGGTATGTAAAAATAAATATTTTGTTTAAATATATACTGAAAATGTATTGTATTTAGCCGGGACGATATTTGGTAGAAATTCGTAGATTTGAGCGCTTTGCTGAATGGTCTAAATAAAAACATTTTATATACTTGATTTACTTGAATTAAAGGATACCGTTTCCCGCAAGCATGCTTGAAAAGAAAAATACATAACCAAATGTAAGGATACATCTAATCTACGGAACCCCCCCCCCCCCAAAAAAAAAAAAAAAAAAAAAAAAAAACAGAAAAGAAACGTTAAGAAAAAAACACATAAATAAAATAAATTGGAAGAGAGAAATTAAAGGATTAATTGTTATTTTACGTCCTTTGCGAGAATTTTCATTAATATGACGTACAAAAACCTTAATCTGAAGAGAAACATGTCTAATAATCATTTCGTTGATATTGAATTATTATGATACGATTCACGGGTCACTTGAAAGCAGTTAGACGTGAATTTCTTTTTTTATAAAAATTACTTTATCTTATTTTTCTGCACTGGATACCGGATAGATATTCACGACGTCAAGCATGACGTCGCGATATTTTATGACGTTGTTCTTAAAAATGTTACATTTTACGATATAAAAGCAATAATCCACATTTAAATTACGCGAAAACTAATCCGAAGACACATTAATTTTTTCACATTGATTTATTTTTAATCAATTCTTTTTTGAAATACCAAAGGGAAAACAATTTCTTTTGCACCATTTAAAAAGTTATTGATATTTTTTAAAACAAAATCTTGCTTCAAAACAAGCCGAAAACGACGTTTCTTCTTATATAATTCAATAGAATAACGTCGAAAATGTAACGACAACAATGGCATGTTTGGAATTTAATTACACAAAAACGATGCAGATGAATTTTATAAAATTTTCAGAGAATATAAGACGAAGGTAGAGGATTCATATAACTAATTTTCATGGTATGTTTTCGGACACTTTCAAATGGCCTGCAAACCCGCGACCTACGTTAAAAAGAAAATAATGTTAAAATTAAAAGTGTGAACGGTACGGTTCGCTTTGTACACGGCACGGTACGTTTCTTGCACGGAACGGTTCGCTTTGTGTACGGTACGGTTCGCTTTGAGCATGGTACCGTACGTTTCTGGCAGGAAACGGTTCGTTTTGTAAACGGTACGCTTTGGTGAACGGTATGTAAATTAAGTGGGCGGAGCCTGTACGATTTAGTTTATGATTGGCTACTTCATAAAGTTGTTTATTTCTCTAATATAATCTCTTTATATATATAAATGGAAGGACAGTGTCTCAGGCATTTTTAATAAGTTGTTTTTTTAATTTCAATCTGTTATAAATATTTCCTTTTTACAGCTGTATTTTAGTTATTACATGTAATGTCATCTTTCTTTCTTTCTTTTTTTTTTGGGGGGGGGTGGGGGGTGCGCAAAAAAACAGAAATTTCTTGATTTGTTTTATGTTTGTAGATATATAAGTAAAAACAAGACGAAAGAAAAAAATATTCATAAAACATCAATGAGGGATGCAGACACGATCGTAAACAAAGGGTATATAGTGACTAGAGAGAAATTAAGTATCATTTTTCAAGATCTATTAATCACTTCTTTCAATTTTCAAATACAGATTCTTGTTATACAAATAAACGTATACATTTATATGTGGTTCAGGTGTATAACACATGCATTATTTATTGTATTAATCACTTTATCCTAAAAGAAAAATAAAATTCTCAATCAAACTTGTCCCATATCTTGTGCTCTCTAATACATTATTTAACAAGATATGTAAGAATCGTTCCTCCATGAGAACTGCAGGTGGTATAAATTATAACATCTGGCTCTAATGTTAATTCAACTTTCTTCAAAAATATTATCTTTAAAAATGTAAAACGTTAATTGACCCAAATAATATTTTACATCACATTCGAAATGCTTCCGGGGCACCAGACTAAGTTTTAGTTGACAGGTGAAGCGCCGTGCGTGGATTTCGTGTTACTATGCATGTGCATATTCTGATTGAAAATAACAAACAGATCTAGAGAACAGAGTTATTGTGATTAATATTATAAATAAAACAAAGGCAATTAAGATTTATAGTCTTTGAATTAAGACAATATGGCATATTGAAGAAAAAAAAAAATCCTACCCTTTTGATTCCTTTCGCTGAAACCATTCCTTCCTAGAAAAGCAGAATTAAGCAGATATCAAAAATGCTCATGCTTGTCTTTGTGCATCTTACCAATAAATCTGTTTTGGTTTATCCCATTTTTTAGTTTATCATCATCAACTATCTTTTTTTAAACAACTAAACAATTGCTTTATATTTCTTTGCCTGTAGCTTTGTCCTTTTTTTTACGAAATGTTTGATCAGTTTGTATTAAATCTATTTTTAAAAAAATAACTAAATATTTCAGATCTAATAATAAAAAAAATAGATACAAGGTCACAGATGGAAATTTATCCAAAGCACGTAAATGACCAAAGCCAAGAACAAAAGAATTGTTAGTTTTTGGACGTCCTGTTTTTTCCTTATGACAAGGAAAAAACTTAAAAAGTAATTAAAAAACAGATATAGAGAAACAAAACGAAATAGCACTACAACTAAACTACAAAACACTGTGCGAGGGTTGTCCCAAAAGGTCGTAGACAGGGAAAATAATTTAGCTTCCCTTTGCTAAATTAAATTTCTTTTCTTGTCAGAGTAAAAAGCAACATTTTATGATCATGAATTTCAAGTTTCATGATGATAACACATTTAACGTAGGACGCGGGTTTGCTGACGTCGTTAAAATTGAGTACGCAATTTATATGATTTGGGAGACTTTCTTGTGCACATTTGATTATGACGTCACAATGAACAAGAAATATGCGATGATTTTTGTTTTATTAGATTCTTCAGTATATCATTATTTAGATATATCTTTTCTTGGAATTGGTAGTTTAGTGTTTTATTATTTAAGCAACAACTTATCACAAATAATGAAGTTTTTTTTTCGATTTGTATAGTCGATACACTACTTATATAAAACTTTTGTTAGAATTGGTAATTTAGTGAAGAAGGCTTATTACGATTCGAATGATCGACACTGGAAATATTTTTAACAAGTTTAATTATTTGTTATCAATCGCATTTTCTTGGGTCTTTCCTGCAAACTTGGAAAAACAAGTGGTTGTTTTTCGGCTTGTCGGAAAGGCCCGAGAAATTGCGATTGAGTTGTTTTCACTTGGTAACGCGAAACGATATGGACACAAGGTTCTACTGAGCTTTTTTCCTTTGATCGTATTTGAATTATCAGTTTGCATTATTAAGAAAGAAGCCACTATTTTGAAAAAAAAAATCGCAAATACACCTGTTACATCGAAAGATGAAGCTTTACTTTTAAACAGGATATTTTCTAAAATATATAGATGTACACGTTTATCATAAATTAAATACTGCTAAGGTACGATGAAACATTAATACATTTTTTTAGCAACACTGACCTTCTGTTAGGGGACAACTATTTGATTCTGAGGGGGGGGGGGTGGCAAATTTTACCAAGTCAGATTGTGTATTTTCATGTCGTTGAAGGACAGATTATTTATTTCAAAAAAAACAAACAAAACAAAACAAAGACAGATTATTTATTTCTTCTTCAGTGAAAAAAGTCAAGCATAAAAAAGAAAGAAAGAAAAACATCAAAGTTGAAAACTCCCGGTGGGGGGGGGGGGGGTGCTAGAACTATCTTGGACATATTATTTATTTTCCTGCCCAGTCGAGGACAGATTATTTATTTTCAACATTTTCGAGGACAGATAATTTATTTCCAAAATCTGTAAGCCCCCTCCCATGAAATGATCGTCCCCTTAGCAACAGGTTTCAATGCTGTTACCTAAAGATCTTATTCGCTACTTTGCTTTCCATGTCCAACAAGTGGAATCAATGTTCTAGAAAAACTGGCTATTGAGTACGTCAGATAAAATTAATACTTAAATCCTCGTCCCATTTACCCCTCTGAAAATGTGGTATGTAAAAATAAATATTTTGTTTAAATATATACTGAAAATATATTGTATTTAGCCGGGACGATATTTGGCAGAAGTTCGTAGATTTGAGCGCTTTGCTAAATGGTCTAAATAAAAACATTTTATATACTTGAATTACTTGAATTAAAGGATACCGTTTTCCGCAAGCATGCTTGAAAAGAAAAACACATAGGCAAATGTAAGGATACATCTAATCTACAAAAAAAAAAAAAGGAAAAAGAAACGGTAAGAAAACAACACATAAAGAAAGTAAATTGGAAGAAAGAAACTAAAGGATTGATTGTTGTTTTACGTCCTTTGCGAGAATTTTCATTAATATGACGTACAAAAACCTTAATCTGAAGAGAAACATGTCTAATAATCATTTCGTTGATATTGAATTATTATGATACGATTCACGGGTCACTTGAAAGCAGTTAGACGTGAATTTCTTTTTTATAAAAATTACTTTATCTTATTTTTCTGCACTGGATACCGGATAGATATTCATGACGTCAAGCATGACGTCGCGATATTTTATGACGTTGTTCTTAAAAATGTTACATTTTACGATATAAAAGCAATAATCCACATTTAAATTACGCGAAAACTAATCCGAAGACATATTAATTTTTTCACATTGATTTATTTCAAATCAATTCTTTTTTGAAATACCAAAAGGGAAAACAATTTCTTTTGCACCATTTAAAAGTTATTGATATTTTTTAAAACAAAATCTTGCCTCAAAACAAGCCGAAAACGACGTTTTTTCTTATATAATTCAATAGAATAACGTCGAAAATGTAACGACAACAATGGCATGTTTGGAATTTAATTACACAAAAACGATGCAGACGAATTTTATAAAATTTTCAGAGAATATAAGACGAAGGTAGAGGATTCATATAACTAATTTTCATGGTATGTTTTCGGACACTTTTAAATGGCCTGCAAACCCGCGACCTACGTTAAAAAAGAAAATAATGTTAAAATGAAAATGCATATAAGTGTACAATATAAGTGTGAACGGTACGGTTCGCTTTGTGCACGGCACGGTACGTTTCTTGCACGGAACGGTTCGCTTTGTGTACGGTACGGTTCGCTTTGAGCATGGTACGGTACGCCTCTGACAGGAAACGGTTCGTTTTGGTGAACGGTATGTAAATTAAGTGGGCGGAGCCTGTACGCTTTAGTTTATGATTGGCTACTTCATAAAGTTGTTTATTTCTTTATTATAATCTCTTTATATATATAAATGGAAGGACAGTGCCTCAAGCATTTTTAATAAGTTGTTTTTTTAATTTCAATCTGTTATAAATATTTCCTTTTTAGAGCTGTATTTTCGTTATTACATGTAACTAGTCGTCTTATTAACTGTATCTTTTTTAATTTACTTTCTGTATAAATTACTTTCAATTTTTAAAATGAAATAATTTTAGTTGTCTTTTAATAGCGATTCTCTGTAACCACTTAAACTTCTTTGTCACGCATGGTCACCGATTTTGATGAAACTTTGCATATTATTACAACTTGACACCAGAAACATATATCAAATGGAATGTCGTTGCTAAGTGTCTTGGTTGCCATAATAAAAGCAAAAAAATGGGAAAAATTGAGATTTTCAGCTACTTTGAATCTTTATTAACCCTTTATAAAGACTAAGAAAAACAAACAAACCATTTTTACAAAAATATAACACCTTGTTGCCACATATTCTATAAAGAAACTTTTTAGAATTTGTCTCTAAGTAAGTGGTAACCATGGGTACATTTGAAATACATTTTAAATAATGAAAAATTCCAAAAACGCTCAATATTCACTTATGATAGGTGTTACGTGATGAAACTCAATCAAAAACCTAGGGAAAAAATAATATTGACCTTGAGTAATTAGGTATTTGCAAAATTATTATAAAAATAACTTTCATGGTTGCCATGGTAACACAGTGTAACCATGCAAAATTTGTCGCTAAGATTGGGTTACTGCTGCTATCTTGAGGAAAAGCAATAAAATTCATGACTGGCATATATACATCCCTAGGAACTTACTACAACACCCACAACATAAAAAAAAAATGGGATTCATTGTTACTTTGCAGTGTAACCATGGAAACATCGTACCAGTTGTTTAAAGTGATATTTTTACTGCCTTAGGAATTTACTTAGCTTTTAATCAAGAAACATATTATTTGACTTACCTTGAATAGTACTTATCTGGTAGAAATGAGGTTGAATATCATACATTGACAAAGTTTGTTGAAAAATTCAACACTGTTGCTATAGTTACCGAGAAGTGAAAATGTTCGATTTTGTTAATTTTATATTGATATTAAACCCTATGCGCCAACTTTTTGCATCCAGTGCATCCAGTTAGAGATTGGGCGGTAGTCAAAATTGAAAGTCAGGATAGTTGTTCATAAATATCTATCATAAAAGTTTTGGGAATCTACATACAAGGTTTCGTATCCAAGGAAACAGAATATTTTTTCAAATTTTTAGGCACATTTTCCCGGCTAATTTTCATAGAAACGCTCTATTTAAAGAATGGAATTTGAATTTATTGAAATGTGAAAATTAGGGCCACACCAATGCCTTGAAAAATTGATCATTAGTTATATAGAATATGCTTTTTAAAAAGATAGGATAAGATTAAAACACTAAAAAGGTCAATTTAAAATCCCTTCGTGGTATAAAAACCATGGCAACCATTGCCAACCTATAAGAAATATCATATTTCGTCCTTTGTATATGTTACAAAAATCTTTTGTCTATTATTTGCTTGCATTTCAGCCTATTAATGTTTTTAATCTTAAGCGTGTGACTTTTTAAAATTTAATGAACAAAATTATTACTTTTGAATACCTTGTTTCCATAGTAACGTGTATAATAGTTTATTTACCAAACATGTTTATCATGCACTTAATGTAGGTCGCGGGTTTGCTGACGTCCTTAAAACTGGGTACGCAATTTATATGGTTTGGACGACTTTCTTGTGCACATTTGATTATGACGTCACAATGAAAAAGAAATTTCAGTACATCATTACTTTTGTTGGAATTGGTATTTTATGGTTATATTATTTAATAGGCACAACTTATCACAAATGATGAAGGCTTTTTATGATTTGAATAGTCGATACAATATTTAGATATTTTTTTATTCTTTTGTTGGAAAT